GGCATATTTTTGGCCGATCCCACGGGCTCGGAAATCCTACGTTAAAAAGGCTTTCTGCCACATGACGCCATCTTGAGGCGGGTGGCTGAATATCACTCAGTGAGTTGAGTGAGTCAGTTGATGTCGGACATTGAAGTATCAACCGCCACAACTAGATTGCTGCGTCATTAACTCTTATTTCAAGTTCCTAACGTTTTGTACGTCGAACATAATTTAGGACCGACTCAGTGACGTACAAGCCTCCACTGTGAAAACTAGTCTACAACACAAAGGAACAGACTTGACTTCATGAGTGAATGAACCACAATATTAAAAAAAAAGTTGAATAATAATAAATTAATATTCAATAGTATTACTACCTAAATATTCCATTATCGGTAGGTGGTGTTAATGTTTGATACCACTTCTTTGAGATTAACTAAAACCACATGTTCTGAAGTTGATAGAACGTACACTCTGATGCTTAGAGCTATACCTAACATCTCTTGGGGACAACATCCAAGTTAATCCCAATCTTACGCGAACGCAGAAAGCGCTTCGCAAGCTGCTGCTGGTGAGCAAATCAGGAACATTGCGAGTGGTTTACTCCTCTGGACAACTAGCTATGGCGCAAGACGGGCTGGTAACACAACCACCACCTACATTGACCAGCTATGTTATGACACAGAAGGCCATCCTAATGACCTTGATGTATGACTCTGATGGTTGGCGTGATAGACTCATGAATGTTCGAGCTAGCCCGAGCGAATAGAATAACTCTCCAAGCAGATACAAATATTTTAACCTTTGAGTTGAAATTCTGTTATTTTACAACGATTCTCTAGCATAAGGAACTCATGGCTAAAGGGTGTTCCAATAACTTGGACTGATTTTAAATGTTAATTAAGTTTAAGTGACGAATTATTTATTTTTTTTACTTTCAGATTTGACGAATATTTGGGTGCTATTATTTTTCACACAAAATTGCCATGACTTAAATAACAGAGAAGAACAGAGAAATAAATAAATTTTCACAAATAACATTGATTTAGAGACTGTCTATATTTTTGAGATGAAGTATTATGTACCTTATTTACATTATTCAGACTATTGTTCTCATCTTTGTCGCCATATTTATCACAACGTCCTCAAGGACACATGGCACAGTGGATAAAGGCGTTAGTTAGATGCAGTGACAGCACCCAAAGAGTGTGAGTTCAATACCCGGTTAAGGTAGTGGAGAACTTTCAGAGGGAAATTAACAGGAGATAATTGATAACTGACATCCATTAAACATGGCACTTGGAACTAGAACAGTCTACCCCAGTGAGCGAAATAAAGGGTTCAGTTCGACATTATAACCACCTGAAGAAGGCCGGAGCGTACAACGGCCGAAACGTTGTGATAAATATGGCAACAAAGATGAGGACAATAGTCCGAATAATGTAAATAATGAACATTGATTTATTTACTGCTGAATTTGATCCGTTTTAATGAAACACCCTTGTGTAATACGTCTTAAAATCACGCTTTACATTACGATTTCTCTATCTTTCTTTCAGTGACTTTAACATTTTATAAACTTTTATCTTTGTAATATTGGGCGGGATTCGTCATTATTCTCAGAATCTACTGTTTTACAGGTACCCCAGTTTTGCGTAAGTTTCGATTTATTCCCATTGCTGACCAACCGAACAAGTTTTCCCGGTAACAGAAATGGCGTAAAACGAAGAAACAATTACCTTTTATTATTTCATATTGAAGTTCACCTGTACAATGGCAGGTAGAGAATTACAGAGTAAAAAACACTGTTTATGCGGATATTTTGGTAAAACAAGGAACCAACAATCTACTGATAGGAGGATTACGAGGGTCCTTTTGTATGGGGTACTGGCAAGGGGTACCACTAGGCGAATCTCATCTTCGGTCTAAGGACGTCTGCAAAAGGGTCATGAGGGCGATGGTCATAAACATCGAGATTTGGGAAGACGATCGCTCACGCTGGAGACGGGATTTACACTGAGGGCTGGAACGAGGAGAGAAAAGGATTTCCGCCAGGGAGAATTGTACTCGAAAGAAAGAAAAACACAACATATATATATATATATATATATATATATATATATATATATAGATAGATAGATAGATAGATAGAAAGAGAGAGAGAGAGAGAGAGACTCGTTTAATTGAGACTAGGACAGTCTAACTCTTTGGGCTCAGATGCATGGGGTCCCTCGAGTCCGAACGATACCACATGTATGAGATTGCATAGAAAGATACCACATGTATGAGATTGCATAGAAAGCGTTTCTTCCTTAATTTAGTTGGTTTATTTATAAATAATTTCCGTTTTGGGGACCAATTTTAATATATATCTTGTTAACTACTAATCATATGTTTAGTTTTTTTTTTTACAGTCAAGTTCTCCCTGTACAAGCCCTGAGAGCCACTCGAGGAGCTAAACAGTAAGAGGCGGAGTTTAGACTTATATGTGAAGAATAGACTTGAACAGTTTAAGATTGTAGTGATCGAAGAAAACATCCTCGTGGGAGTCTGTTCCACGGTGTAGTGATTCGCAGGAAGAAGCTGCTGGCGGTAAACTTCTAACCACTGGCCTAAGAAGGGAAAATGATGGTTACATATAGCCATAAAAATAAATATATGCTTAAATATGTGTGTATGTTGACACTAATATATATATATATATATATATATATATATATATAGCTATTAATCTAAAATATTCCCCTAATCTCTCTCTCTCTCTCTCTCTCTCTCTCTCTCTCTCTATATATATATATATATATATATATATATATATATTTATCTAATTGTCTTTATCTCTCTCACTATATATACATACATAAACAGAGCCATATATATATATATATATATATATATATATATATATATATATATATATAGCTATTCATCTGATCTCTCTTTCTCTCTCCTCTCACTATATATATATATAGCTATTCATCTAATTATCTTTATCTCTCTCACTATACACACACACACATATATATATATAGCTATATATCTGTTCTCTCTATCTCTTACTCTCTATCTATCTCTCTCTCTCTCTATATATATATATATATATATAGCTATTATCTGATCTCTCCCTTTCTCTCTCTCTATATATATATAGGCCTGTTCATCTAATTGTATTTCTCTATCTCTCTCACCACACACACGCACACACACACGCACACACACACGCACACACACACACATCGTGCATGAAACTCAGATTAGTGCTACCGGTGAGAAAAAATGTATATTTATTATTAATTTGATTTAGGCTCTGTTATTATACATCGATCACTATTTTATTAGTAACACCTGTGTCAACATTACCATGCTTCGGAATTCACTGGATGAAGTGTGCAGCTTTTAATACTTAGGAGTAATCTTGTCTAACGATGCGACCTGCAACTTGGAAATCCGTACACGGACTGCTGTAGGTATGGCAGTGATGACCAAATTGACAAGAATATGAAGGAGCAAATCAGCTTTCAAAGTACAGAGTGTAAAAATCGCTGGTCGTCTCCATTCTCCTATATGGATGTGAAATGTGGACACTGTTCGCAGATACAGAGAGAAGGATCATTGTCTTTTTCTATTGGGAACAAAAAAACAGTGAGTCGGTGTGGAAAAGAGTTGAAAGTTTTGTGGGACATCAGGAAACTCTTCTCGCCACTGTCAAACGGCGAAAAATGTCGTGGTTTGGACACGTTAAAAGTCACGACAGCCTGTTCAAGTCCATCATGCAAAGCAGCGATGAAGATGGACGTAAGAGTGGACGCCAACGCAAAATCTGGTTGGACAATGTCAAGCAATAAACAGATATGACTGTACCAGAATTACTGATGGCTGCCGTCGATAGACCGATGTGGAAAAGAGATAGTGTGGCTTCTTCATTCGGATCCGCCCTACGATTAAAAAAAAAAAAAGGGATGGTAATGATGATTATTATTTTATTAGCACCAGTACTCAATTATATATATATATATATATATATATATATATATATATATATATATAGATAGATAGATAGATAGATAGATAGATAATATTAGTGGTAAATATACATACATATGCAAAATATATAAATACCCATACATGTATATTTTTTGAATAAAAATTCCAAGAGGATAGAATCCAGGTAGAACTCAATGTCCAGGACAGAGTAAGGATATAATAAAAAGGCTTAAACACTAATATTCCATGGTCATAATTTAATAATTTTTGAATTTATAGGTCTGATGAATTGGATCGTATTTACGATTCCAATGGAATAAATTATAACCATGGAATATTAGTGTTTAAACCTTTTTATTTTATATATATATATATATATATATATATATATATATATATATATATGATGAGACAAAGTATAGTTTTTTATTATTATTATTATTACCAAAGATGCGTTTCGTCACCGGAGAAACTATATGTTCTCTGTGGCTTCTTCAATTTGATAATGAAACAAAGACAATAATATTATCAGGAAAAAATTATTTCCCCCTTTTTCTCCTCAGTCCAAGTTAGGTTGTCTACCAACTCCCGCAATAAGGAAATATTTCATAATAATAATATTAAATATATAAAACCTTTAGAACTAATCAATCATAAAATAAATTTAGAATATTTCGAACAAAACAAAGAAGGTGAAAATAAACAGAGACACCGTAAGCGTAACATCATATAATTTAATTCTCCTTTTATTCGTAATGTTCAATCTAATATCGAAAGAATGTTCCTATATTTAACCCATATATACTTTAAACATTCACCAACACTAAGAAGTTTAATAAAAATAATATCAAGCGATAATAACATAGATAAATCTATATCCCAACCTATCAACATTATATTAATGTAATTTTTTTAACTGCCGAAAAATATGATCTGTCCCTTAAACGGTTAATTTATGACTGATAATATTGTATACCAAGCTAGCATACATTCCGGTAACGATGTTAAATTTTATTTTGGTTCCACTAAGAATGATGATAATACACCTTTTATTACCTGGCATATTATAGCAAGCGCCAAATTCTATAACGGGAAAGAAAATAGAGGTAACTTATGTCGTGTTGAAAAATTGGCTAAAACACTTAAAGAACCATAGCTTATTAAACAAGAGAAATGAATTGATGGTTACATACAGGCATAAAAATAAATATCTGCTTAAATACGTTGATCCAGATTAATTTTGAATGCTAAATTACCGTTATTTAAAGAACAAGTTTTGTCCCTTTATGCTTAATATTAAAAATTAATATTCACAATTCGAAAGAATTGAATTTGACGCATACATAGAATCATATAAAAAATAATACAGTTTTTTTTTGTTTTTGTTTTAAGAATATCAATTATATATTTGGACGCGTATACATATTAAAGTAGGTGTTTCATTCCAAGGAAGCATTTTACAGCTAGTCTTTAATATAACTCTAAAACCATCGTCACTACACTCGCATAATGCCAACATTCTTAAGTGAAACTGATCACTTGTTTATTTCTGGGGTTGTCCGCTGAGAGCTGAAACCGTGGAAAGCGAAACCGCTGATAAAACGAACCGTTTGTATTCCTATGAATGGTGAGTGAACACTTAAACTAAGCGAATGTGGCAAATATATGTGATTGGGTAGGAACGATAATGCTTTAGAAATATTGCAAACGATGAGGACCTTACCAGAATGAGTTTCATCTGCTGAAATATCTGCCAAGCATTTCGTGACTAATTAGCAGAGATTTCAGCTCCTTAAACTTAGCAATTAATAAATAATTCTCTATTTGATATTTCTTCCTGACGTGTACAGATTTCAACAGACGAAATTATTACCTTGATAGAGATCGAACTCTGTTTATCTGAACCGTTGGCTCAAAACTCGACTAATACATGAGTATATTCAGTGAAAACTTGTTCTAAAAACGTATGGGTCATTTTGCTTACTTTCTGGGCGAAATGTCGATCAAGAAACAAGGGCGGAAACCATTTTATTTTCAGTTCTGCTAACAAAGGGCGGAAAATTTGTGCGATGTTGAAGCGTATGTAATTATAGAATAGGAAGTGATTGATGACTGCGATTAACTCCTGGAGGATGAACCGTGTTTAAAAGAATGATAGGCGTTGCTTTGACAGGGAAGCAATTAGTTGCAAATAAGCGATTCAGGAACAAGCGGCATCTGTAAGAAGAAGAAAAAAAAAACGAAAAACTTTATTCCACGGGTGAGGTCATCTTACTGCAACCAAGGCAACTGAGAGTGTCGTTGCAGAAATATGGTCACTTGGCGATGTCCGACTTCGATCAAGTTAAGACTTAGCAATTAAGATTTTATATTCTAGCTTTATTTTATTTATTTATTTTTTTTTTAAAAGAAGAAATTTGAACTTTCCTCTTATTATTATTCAAACAATACAAGGCCTAGGAGCCACTCAAAGTAGAAGGTTACTAACGGAGGTTACTGTAAGAGAGTAGAAGGAGGGAGAAAGAGGTGGATATTTTAAAAATATGTTGGATATATAACGGTTGACTGAAGTATCCACTCTGGTGTCCGTCGCGCAATGCAACTGTTCCAGGGAAGAAGCTGTCTGAGTGGAACTTCCTCCTTACTAATGGAATATGAAGGGAATGAGGATGAGTCGATTTAGTGTACGTGGACTGGCGGGTTCTAGCTGTGAATATCTGGAGTGGGTGAGTTAAGAAATTTAATTCACCTCAGCATCTGCCATGTATATTGTTACAGGGTTGAAAAAAACCAGTAACGTTTTGGTCTGTGGGAAACGGGTTGTAGGTTGGAAAACAATTTATCAATTTCTTTCCAGAATTGAATATGAGGATTGGACAGGCGTTAGTCCAAATTTGGCAGCAATAATCCATTTTGGTTTTATCTGAGTCTTGTGAAGTTAGACCGTGTCAGAAGGAATCAGGTATTTTTTTTTGGAACAGCAAACAACCGATCATTTTTTCCACTATCCTCAGCAATTTAGTTCCATTTTGATATGAGGTTGAGTCCCAATAGATATTCCAAGTCAAAAGTTTTATCGAGAGCACTGTTGTTCATCATGACAGTAGGTATGTGATGGTTGGTTTTAAAGTGTTAGTTCCTCTCCCATTGAGTTTCTTTAAAGCACCCCCCCAAGCAAGGCGGACTGAGAACAAGAGTAAAGAGGGGGGTGTTTGAGGAAAGGATATAGAGATAAACGGGGATCAGGATCAAGGCATCAGAAGATGCCGATTGACATTAGATTTGAATAATTAAAGATTCTAGCTGTCAGAGAAGAAGGAAGGGAGTTACACTGTCGGGAAGTGTGAGAGAAGAATCTGTTGAAAGTAGAAGAGGCGGTAATATTGAACTGTATTGACAGTGAAAGGGTGGGACCGAGATACCAACCTAGTAGCAAGCTTAAATTCATGCAGTTGGAGCACCAGTGAACGTAGCTGGTCAGAGACGTTGCCACGAAAATATTTGTAGAAAAGGCAGAGGGAAGCCACAGCACGTCTGTGAGAAAGTGACTGTAGACGAGACGCCAGAACAGAACCTATCACATTGAATATCCGTCTCTGGATTTTATTGAGGATCTTGAAATGAACAGCGGGGGCACCAGACTATATATGGCAGCAGTAGTCAATGCAAGGACGAATGAGAGATTTGTATATTTGAATAATGGGCTCAGGTGAGAAAAAACTTCTGGCCCGACACAGGAAACCAACTTTCCTTGCGGTTGATGAAGCTATTGATTCAATGTAGTTGTTTTACCTCAGGTCAGTAGAAAGCTTGGAACCAAGAAGTAAGAGGAGAGAACAGCTGGGAGGTTCTAGTCATTCTATCTGTGGAAATATCTATGACCCAATGCTAGTACCATTAATTTCTCAGTAAGGAGAAATTTATTAAGGGCATATGACTGATGCTTCCAAAAGCTAAGCAAAGTATTAAGAAACAGGAAAATTGCGTGAGAAACAAAGAAAGAAGTGCTGAACTGCTATGTATTATCAATCCTCCTATATAACAGTGAATGCTAGACAATTCCCTCTGAGATGAATAGGGGGGGACCTTGAGGCAATAGAAAGGTGATTCTACAGAAAAAAGGGCTTTTAATATCTAATGTTATTTCTTTTTTCAAAAAAGAAAGCCTTCCTAGGGCAATGCTACCTTAGAAATTTTCAAAGTGCTTCCCTTGGTAATTTGCACAATAGCCTCAAAGTCCTTTCAACTATACAACAGAGTCTTCTACGGTTGATCTTAGCTACTTCATTATATTTTTCTTAATCTCGTCAATATCAGGGTGAAATATCACGGTGAACTTCAGAGGGTGGGGCTGATAAACCTGGGCGATGAAATACTCCAACAAAATAAATGAAAAAAAAAAAACAAACTCCTGCACATGACTTACAGAAGGAACAACAAGCATATTTGTTGTAGAGTAATTTTCACAGTGGAAGCTTGTATTTCACTAAGTCGGTCCTAAATTAGGTTCGACGTACAAAACGTTAGGAACTTGAAATAATAGTTAATGATGCAGCAATCTAGTTGTGTGGCTCATACTTTAATGTCCGACATCGACTGACTCATACAACTCCACTGAGCTCCACTGGTGACTGCTACTACTACTACTACTTATCTGTCTATTTACAATAGAAATAGGTACGTTCCGGTATAACACATATTCAAAATGAAAAATTCCTAACGGATTCTTAGATTACGAATGAAGCAAATGTGCGGGTCAGTATGTTCGTAGCCTGACACGTTTCTTGAATTCTGATAAGAAACTTTCAATCTATGAAAGACATTGGAGAAGCCTTTGGGTTTGGAGATTACACTAACAGATAAATCATTTTGAAATTAACTTATATATTTTAAATAAAGTAAAAGAAAAAAAATTGTAGTTCCAACGAATTAATTATTTTTATAGAAATATTTCGACTATCAGTTGCCAGCCTTGGTCACTCCTTAATTTGAATAAAAAACAGTGCAAAGAAACTCGAAACGCTTAAGAATTCAAATCAAGGAAAACAAACCGAGTTTACCACTTATAGCAAGTTGAAGCGTAAAAAAAAAAGGATTTTTGTTTTTACTCTATAAATATATATATATAGATCATTGAAATAAAGACTGGATGAACATCGAAGACTTTGTGATAAGGTAATTTCAAATGATAACGAAAAACAAAAATTGGAAAAAAAAAACTTCAGCGATTGCATTACATGCCATTACAGGTCACAGAATTGACTTCAACCATCCGGAAATAAAATTGACGAACCCAAAAACATTTCAATCAAAGAAGAATAGCTGATCAAATGGTTATAGCAACTACAAAAATGCCTGCAATAGGATAGATACAGCACACTCCATCCTGTCAGGACATCTCTACTCCAAAGAAAACTATATGACAAAAAATAAAAAAATAAATAAAATTTATACAGTAAAAAACAAAAATCCTTTTCTTTTACGCCTCAACTTGCTATAATGTTTCGAGCTTCTTTGCGCTGTTTTTACTCAAATTAAGGAGTAACCAACACTTGCAACTGCTAACCGAAATATTTCCATAAAGATAAATCTTTCGTTGGAACTACAAGTTTTTCTTTTAATAATGCAACTAACAACGGAGACAACCATCCTAACTTTGGTAAATGCATTTCACCTTTCTTATTCTTTATGTGCCGTGTCTTCTCATAGCGTAGGCGATCATAGCTCTCCATTTTCTGTCCTTTGTACTTCTTAATAAATTCTGTCTTTTTGTTATTTTCCCTAAACCTTGTTCCGCCATCCATTTACTCAAGAACGCTAGTTGGGTTATGCATTATTTTCCTCTGCTCCTGCTGCCTTGAATCCTGTGAGTATCAAATTTTCTAACTGTTCTGGAGTGATTTCGCAGTGGAGGCTTGTATTTGTACTAAATCGGTCCAAAAATAGGTTCGACGTACAAAACGTTAGGAACTTGATATAATAGGTATTGCGCAGAGTAATCTTGTTGTGGTCGCTGATACTTTCGTATTCGACTAACTGTCGTCCGACATCGACTGACCCTTGTTTTTCTTACTACTCTTACTTATATTAGGTGGGAGAGTCTATTAACTATAGAATAGGTGTGTTTCACCATAACACTAACCTCATTATGTGCCGTAGATATTTCAACTGTCTCCTTCTGATGTTAACATCTACAAGTTTCCTTTTTTGCCATTGGCTCTAAAACTTTGTCTTTACTCACATGTACAGTTCATGGTATCCACAGAACCACATTTCTGTTGCTTCAAATGTCTTTTGAGAAGATTCTCCAGCATTCACTTCCTAAATATTGGAGCAGTAATCCATTTTCGGCCTGACCTAGTCCTAATAATTGTAGAAAGTAGCAGGAGGAATCAGGTATTTACTGGAGAGGTACAGCGAAATGACCATTTTTTCATCATCTTTAATGAAGGATCGTATGCACACTTGAGGTCTGGGCTGTGTAAGGACCAATAGTCGCCCAGGGAACCCCCATAGGGCATATTAATTCATCGTGACCAGTGGTAGTTTAGGGTTCGATCGTCGATGATAGAATGTAACTGATTTGGTTTTCGAGCCAGAGAATGCAACTGGTCAGCAATGAGTTTAGAGGTGCACCTATTTACCGCTGTATCATCAGCATAGATAGATAGATAGATAGATAGATAGATAGATAGATAGATAGATAGATTGATTGATTGATTGATTGATTTAAAAAGACTGTGATAGATAGATAGATAGATAGATAGATAGATAGATAGATAGATAGATCTAAAAAGACAGATAGATAGATGGAGAGATAGAGAGAAAGAGATCTAAAAGACTACGATAGATAGATCTAAAAAGACTGCGATAGATAGATCTAAAAACTGCGATAGATAGATAGATAGATAGATAGATAGATAGATAGATAGATAGACTGTGGTTGATAGATCGCCGATGGCGGAAGCTCACTAGATTGGTTTTTGATGTATTGAATGTGACCAGCCAGTTTTCCTCCACTGTTAGAGGAGAGATCAGCTGCCAAAATCTAGTCACGAAGGCTTTAGCAGGTGCACCCATCTACCGTTGTATCGTCAGCATAGATAGATAGATAGATAGATAGATAGATAGATAGATAGATAGATCTAAAAAGACTGACATAGATAGATACCACGCAGTAGACAGAAAGTATTACAACAGGACCAATGTCTAGATGCAATATAATGTGTTGTGACTAGTTTGAAATGTAATTTTGTTGAGTGTGGGTTGCTTCGTTTTAATGTAGCTGGCCTCCAATAGCCATGTACATAATATTAGGCTGATATTAGTTTATAACACAATAATACTCACACATACACACAATAAAAAAGAACCTTCAGAAATTGGAGGCCATCTACATTAAAACGAAGGAACCCACACTCAACGAAATTACATTTTAAACTAGTCACAATACATTACATTGCATCTAGACATTGGTTCTGTTGTAATACTTCGTTATATCGCGTGGTATGACGTCATAGAACCGCCTCATGAACTTCCGATCTGCGTCTGCTATTCCGCGACCGTTATCGTCGCAAAGCAATTTTATATGTCAAAATAACAAAATATAATATTTGACGGTGGATATCTTTGTTTCATGACTGTATAACCACTCTGACGATGACACATGTGAGCCGAAAGCTCAGGAATAATTTAATAAAAAGATATCCAAATATTGTACAATTTTTGTCTTCATTTTCACCCAAAATTAAAGCAAATATTCGAAGGTTAAAACGGCTCATGATCAGACATAATAGACATTTATTGTCAGTTATATGTAATAATATATGTTTAAATATATATTTATATATATATACGTGCAACAAACTATTTCTTACTTAACAGTTATATATATATATATATATATATATATATATATATATATATATGTATACGTGCAACATACTATTTCTTATGTAACAGTTGAAATATTTCATCCTTGAAAATGGCTAAATGTATAGCCGAAAGCGCTCGGAAGAAAAGAACATTCCGACGACAGTTTTTATATAATTTATCATCTGAAAAGAATAAATTATTAGATCACATGAGAAATTGAATAAAAAACTAAAACCTTGTCTGTCGTAGTCAATGAAATGTGCATATATATATATATATATATATATATATATATATATATATATATATATATATATCCAGGTAAGATGAGAACTAAGATAATTCCACCGTTCGTAACATTTAATTTAAAAAGTCGGCTCAATACAAAGTATAGCAATATTATATATTTTAGGATATTACACCCGAAACATGTCAAAATCGGTACATATTTGCAATCGTGTTCGATGCATATCAAATGCACGCCTGATGAGATGCATTGATACGCATCGAAACACGACTGCAATTGTGTACCGATTTTGACATGTTTTCGGTGTATCCTAATTTATATATATATATATATATATATATATATATATATATATATATATATATATATATATATATACACAAATGTTTGGAGGTACAAAATTTATATATAGTTTTAAAACAAGGAATGCATTGATTTTAATTTTAAAAGTCTCTAGGGCCCTTTCAGCCAACATCTCTATAACTATAAATGTTGAGCAATAGCCGATTCCATATTCATAGGTCTGCGTTTCTGTCTTTTCGCAAGGATGTATTGCCCTACGTCAAATTGAGTAATTTAGTATATGAATTTAATTGCCAGTGTGCTGCTGGTTATGTGGGGCGTACAACCTTGCATTTGGAAACTAGAATTAATCAGCACGTACCTTCCAAAATACGACTTGGTAAGATAGATAGAATATGCTATCTTCCCCCCATGAATATGGAATCGGCTATTGCTCAACATTTAGTTGAGAATATAGACTGCGCCAAGTCGTATAAAAAAGAGTGGTTTAAAATTATTCATACAGCCAATTCCAACAATCATTTGAAGATTTTGGAATCGGTCTGCATAAGATTAAGAAAACCTTCTCTCTGCCGGCAGAAAGAATTTGTAAAGTCTCTTAATCTGTTGGGGGATATTTTATTTTAACTGTCCCTCGCTAATTTATTTACACGATTATTTCCCCTCCCCTCGTTACAAGTATATATACTTGTTTGTTATTTTAGTGTGCTTCCCCCTCTTTTTGCTCTTCATTATCATTAATATTCTTTTCGCTGATCCAACGATTGTCTCCTGATGAGATGTTGGCTGAAAGGGCCCTAGAGACTTTTAAAATTAAAATCAATGCATTCCTTGTTTTTAAAACTATATATATATATATATATTTTTGAACATAGAAATATAGGTCCTTGCTGGATTAGATAATCGTTATATTTATCTTCATATATTTATATTTGATGTGTAACCTGTAGTCGATATTAAATTTGTCAATTTTTCTCAATTACAAAGCAGCCCTTTAAGTAAACGCAATTTTACTTTCCTTCGTCCCATCTCTCTCTCCACCTCGTCTTTCCCTCCCTCTTATTCTAACATTAGATTGTCTATGGTGTGTGTATGTCACCACGAAATGTATCTTTATGCATTAGACATCCGTCAACATTCATTTTTTTCTCTTAATTAAACCACTTCCACCCATCTCTCCTAAAATTCTCTCTGTTAAGGTTTAATCTCCCTCCTCCTCATACTTACACTCTCTCTAAATTCTGTTTTTATTTCCGGTGTTGGTTTTTTTCTGTTTTCTTTTTGAATTTGTAGGTCTGATGTATTGGATCGTATTTACGATTCCAATGGAATAAATTATGACCATGGAATATTAGTGTTTAAGCCTTTTTATTATATCCTTACTCTGTCCTAGACATTGAGTTCTACCTGGATTCTTCCTCTTGGAATTTTTTTTTTCTAGAAATATACATATATGGGTATTTATATATTTTGCATATGTATGTATATTTTCCACTAATATTACCTATCTATCTATCTATCTATCTATATATATATATATATATATATATATATATATATATATGAGTGTGTGTGTGTGTGTGTGGATGAGGTTATTATATTTGTTTTATCAAGGAGGATGTTGCCGATGGAGTTTGGTAGGTTTCTATGTGTATTTAATCTATGTATTTAAATGAAACCTAATTGAGCTATGGTCAGAGAGATGTAACGTGAGTCTCCCTGTTGGACATGTTGTACATCCAATATAATTATTTATGAATTTGGATTGACCAGGAACACAAGACTATTTGCATGCACCGCGTGTGTACGTTTTAAGGAATCTAATCAAAATATTTTATGGATACACGTGTATGCCTGTACGTTCATTGTTTCCATAGGTCTGCAATCATTAGGCTATAGACTCAGAAATGTACATACGTAAGAACGTCTGAGACAAAGTAAACACAATTCCTTTCATATTTTATTTATCTTACTGTTTTGAAACTCCGGATTGTGTTAGGAAAACAATTTTTCGGAAATTCTTTAGCCAATTACCAAAATGTTGTTGGTTTTGGATATGTTTTCTTTCTCTTTAAAGAAACACAAACACATAGAAATATGAACATTGTAATTATGCTACGTGTTTTATTGCAATAAAAACGAAACTAAAATCCTGCTTCGTACAATTGTTTTTTTAATCAACGAGATAAAATTCCTCTAGTTATAAAATAAGATTAACTCCAAGAATTCTGTTTCGTCGAGAATGGATAATCAAATTGCCGACAATAAAGTCAAGAATAAATTCCATGATAAACATGCAAAAAACATGTTGAGCTCGAAACAAAAGAATTCATCGTAACGAAGTTAAAATACAGAAAGAAAAAAAAAAACAGATAAAGAACGACAAAAAGTTTATTAAAATAAGAGAGAAAATTCAAAAACGTGTGTTGGAAGTAAAGAGACTGTAAAACTGGGAGAAACAAAGAAGATAACATGATAGGCTGGAAAGATTAAGCAGGGTTTCTCAACCTTTTTAAGCAATAGCACACCTAGAAGCAAATGAAATATCATGGCACACTTAGTAACATTTCTAAATTGTAGACATTTCAATTTTATGAAATAAGTCCATACATTAAAAAAAAAATACGCACACAAAAATGAACTTACTTTATTTCAATGTTTCTATTTAACTATTTGTGCAGCTTATTTAGTGTGTTTTTTCATGATTTCTTCCTTGTTTGGTCGAATGTGCAATATGCAAGCCCTCATTTCTTACTCAGTTGAACATAGTCTTTCTTGCATCGTAATTTCGATGTTATTTTAGGGTTGAGAACTTAATTCACATAAATAACTAGAAAATTGCCATAAAACTGATAAAGTCTTTTCAGCTAATGTGGGATCTTCTTTTTGTATTGAAATCCAAAATGTATCAATAGATACCATAGACTGTTTTATGCTGAGCTCTCGATCACTAGAAATAATGGCCAATTCTTCTTGACAAAACTAAACTCCAATATTACCATTACTACTTCAACTCAAACATATATATGTATGCTGTGATAATATTTCGAGGTACAATTAAGAGATCCCGCAGCGCACTGGTGTTCCACAGCATGGTGGTTGAGAATCACTGATTTAATACAATATATATATATATATATATATATATATATATATATATATATATATTTCACAGTTTTTTCAATGTTTGGTTGAATGTGCCATAATATCATGGCACATTTAGCAAAATTTTTAAGGGTATACATTTTAATGTTATGAAATAAAACTATAGATTTTTAAAAAAAAATACCCACACAAATATGAACTTACTTTATTTCAATGTTTCTATTTAACTATTTGTGCAGCTTATTTAGTATGTGATTTTCGATGATTTCGTCAATGTTTGGTCAAATGTGCATTAAGCAAACCCTCATTTCCTCCTCAGTTGAACATAATCTTTCTTGCTCCTTAATTTTGATGTTATCTTAGGGTTGAGAACTTAATTCGCATAAATAATTAGAAAATTGCAATAAAACTGATAAAGCGTTTTCATTTAATGTGGGATATTCTTTTTGTATTGAAATCCAAAATGTATCAATGGGTACCATTGACTGTTTTATATTGAGCCCTCGATCACTAAAAATAGTGGCCAATTCTTCTTAACAAATTCACTGTTGATGATCTAGTATACTCAATAGACTATACACTATAAGTCATACTTTATAGTGATTTCCTAAGCGTAGCTCAGATGTGGCACAAAACGGAAAGTAAGGGGCAGGTGAGGATCGAACTCACGACTCAGTTGTAATTGTTCTAGCGAGACACGCTTGCTAACCATTACACCGCCTCGAGGTGCCGTCATTCGTATTCTATAGTCTGTACTCTTTATTCTATAGCAGTGTTTCTTAATATTTTTAAGCAACAGCACACTTAGAAGCAAATGAAAAATGTGTGAAATGAGACCATACATTTAAAAAAAAATACGCACACAAATATGAACTTACTTTATTTTATTATTTACATTATTCGGACTATTGTCCTCATCTTTGTCGCCATATTTATTACAATGTTTCGGCCGTTGTACGCTCCGGCCTTCTTCAGGTGGTTGGAATGTCGAACTGAACCCATTATTTCGCTCACTAGAGTAGAATGTTCTAGTTCCACGTGCCATGTTTAATGGAATTCAATTATCAGTTATCTCCTGTTAATTTTACCTCTGAAAGTTCTCCACTGCCTTAGTTCTCACACTCTTTGGGTTCTGTCACTGGATCTAACTAACGCCTATAACCACTGTGCCATGTGTCCTCAAGGCATGTACATGTACATAATACCTCATCTCAGAAATATAGACAGATACTTTATTTCAATGTTCTATTCAACTATTTGTGCAGCTTAATTAGTGTGAAATCTATGCCTGGTGTTTTATCGCGATTTCTTCAATGTTTGGTTTGGTTTGGTCTGGTTTGGTTTGGTTTGGTTTGCGGCATATAGACGTCATTGAGATATTTAATGCCGACAAGATTTTCTTTTTGCTGGTAATATTTTTTTAAAAATTTATTGCTGTAATATTCTTTTCCAAAACTTTATTGCTGATAATAATCTTCTACAGAGATATATTGCTGGTATTAAAATCTATTTTTCCACTTTCATGGTGTTTCGATCCCAGTTTGGGTGCAACTATTTGCTTCCTTTTATCTATCTGTGTCTTTGTCTCCAGGCAAAGCGCAGCTAGAAATATTGAGAAGTGCATGGCTCAAGGAAACAGTTGCCAACCACAGTAACTCCTTCAATGTACTGCCTTCGAGCAGGATACAACAAATAAATAAGAGAATTCAAACTTTGCATCAGTATCTCCCTAAATGCATAAAAGGGAGATAATCGGTGGAATCTCAACTCCAGCGTGACGTTGGTTTCGAGACAATGTTGGGTCTTAGCTCATGTGCACGCTTTTGGGTTTCCTTAATTTAAAGAGACCTTTTGCCATATCTCGTCACCGCAAATACTACGTGTATTAGTTCTCCTCATCTCGAATGGTAATGGTAATATTTGCCGTTTCTTTATAAGGAAATATTCAGTATTCATTGACCGAGCAACCACCGAAATACACCGAAAAGCAATAAAGAAGAAAAAATCAAAGAAAGCAAGAATGAAAGAAAGAAACAACTGAAGGCAAGACATTTTCAAAGAAAGAAAAATATTACTAAAAAAGAAACAAACAAAATATTAAGTACAAAAACGAAAGCGAAAAAGAACATAAGAAAATTAAGAAAAACAAGAACGAAAGAAAAAAAGAATAAAAGAAAAAATTAAATACAACAGAAAGAAAGAAATGAATGAATGATAAGTGCAAAATAATCAAAGAAAGAAAAAATTACCCAAGGAAAAAGATGAAGTACCAAAGAAAGAAAAAAAAAGTTAAAAACGAAAGAGAAAAAGAAAGAATAAAGTACAAAAGAAAGAAAAATATAAATAAAACACAAAGAAAGAATGAAGTACAAAAGAAAGAATGAAGTACAAAAGAAAGAAAGAAAGAAAGAAAATAAAATACAAAAAAAAACGAAACAGAAAGAGTAAGAAAAAAGAAACAAAGAAAGAAAGAACGAAAGAATGAAAGAAAGAAGAAAAAGAAAGCGTGAAATATAATAGAAGGAAAGAAAGAACGAAATACCAAAGAAAAAAGAAAATAAAGTACAAAAAACGAATTAAAAAAAGAAAGAATAAAGTACAAAAGAAAGAAAGAAAAAAATAATAAAAGAAAAATATGAAAAAACACAAAGAAAGAATGAAGTACAAAAGAAAGAAAGAATGAAAAATAAAATACAAAAAATGAAACAGAAAGAACTTGAGAAAGAATAAGAAAAAAGAAAGAAATAAAGAACGAAATAATGAAAGAATGAAAGAATGAAAGAATAAAAGAAAACGTGAAATACAACAGAAAGAAAGAAAGAAAGAAATACCAAAGAAAAAAGAAAATAAATAAAGTACAAAAAACGAATTAAAAAAAAGAAAGAATAAAATACAAAAGAAAGAAAAAATAATAGAATAAAAATTATGAAATGCAAAAGAAACAATGGAGTATAAAAATAGAAACGAAAGCAAAGAAAGAAAGAGAAAAAGAAAGAAAGAAAGAAAGAAAGAAAGAAAGAAAGAAAGAGAAAAAGAAAAAAAGCAAGAAAGAAAGAAAAAGAAATCTCAACAAATCTAAATCTGCAAGATTGAGAATGAAGAGATTAAATGCTGGAAGTTTGATGCGGAAGAGATTATCGCAAATACACACCGTGGAGAACGAAAATGTAAATCCAATGACAAAATGAATAATTAAGGACCCACCACTTGTGCAGTGTCTTTGTCTTGGGCTAATAAAGAGGGGGCTTTTATTGCCGACAATAAAAGCTATTCGCAGAAATAAATAACTCAATCAATAAAGGGAAATTTGAAACTCTTTAGAAAATAGACGATAAAGGAGTCAACTTGCAACCCGCCAATCTCAACCGGAAATTCATTCGGGAAACGATCCACCATTTTGTCTCTTTTTCGAAGCTTTTCATTCAATCGGCTTAATTTGAAACAACACCTTTCCTTGAAATGAAAGAAAGAAAAGAATACACGATACATTCCGGAATTATCCTTTCAATTAAATAGAAAAGGCAAAGACAACCAGAAAAATAAAAATCTTACACACTTCCTTGTGGCTCCTTGCACATACATAATCTGCAGAAATGGTTTTAGAATTCTTAAATATATGAGTATATTTTCTACCGTCTAAAATGTCGGTAAGTTATTAAAAAAATCAAAATGCATTGTACTTATAAAATATGAAAATGCATTTTCTTCTTTGTCTATAATTCTGAGATTAAGTATTGTAACTATTTACACTATTTACATTGTTCAAACTATTGTCCTCATTTTTATTGTCATATTCACGAAGTTTTGGCCGTTGTACGCTCCAGCCTTCTTCAGATGATATACTCTGGAATTTCGAAACGAACCCTTTATTCCATCCACCGGGGTAGATAGTTCTAGTTCCACGTGCCGTGCCTTTTCTGGATGTTTCAGTTTCAGTTATTTTCCCTCAACTCAACTCTCTAAGTTTTTGTTCTACAGAGGCCAGGTATTGAATCCACAAGTCTTCAAGTCCAATCCGTGGATTACTTCCACCAACGCTTTTATCTCCAAGAAGACATGGACCAGCGGATAAAAGCATTGTTTGAAGTAATCCAGAGAAATTTTCGCTTCGAAATACCAACGTATATCACCTGAAGAATGGCGGTACTTACGGCCGAAACGTCATGGATATGAAAATAAAGATGAGGACAGAAGTCGGAACAAGGTAAGTAGTGTAAATTCATTTTCTTGTTTATATTCAACCTTTCTTTCATTCTCTCTCTCTGGTTTGTTTATACTGAGTAGAACATCGTACCACAGCCACACTACGCTACGTACTGCATGTAACGACCAAGGAGTCGAATCACCCTCATTTCTTCCATATTGTAAATGTAAAGTGAAAGTTCCATTAAAACAGATTTTTACCAAGAACTGCTACTTTGAGGAACATACACCTGCGTGGATGCTTTCCAGAACACTACAATCTTAACCTCTTTAAGTCAAAAGTCAATCGTTGTATAACATACTTATCCTCATAATTTCACTTCGTATCAGCTACTCTTACATAAATAATTCCGTAAACTTCTACGATGAGCATGAGTGTCTCTCGTGTTTTGCACTGGGTGAAGTTTAGGCTAGAAATCCTTCGTGTGTATATATATATATATATATATATATTAAAGACATTTTTATGTTTAACATTCTTTTTATAGATACAAGTATTTAAGTAAATGCTCTGGTTATAATAAACAGTATTAAATAACATTTACGGCCTGAATGTGCGAGAAATTTTCATAGAAAATATTCGTCCTTTGACAGGATTCGAACCTGCATCCTATACGGAACCGTCATTTAGCTTGACGTGCCTAACATCTCGACCACAAAGGATCGTTCGGTTGGCAAGGTCGAATTTACTGCTTATAATTCCAAGGAGTTTTGTTTTTAGCGTTTTTAAGTTGTATTTTATTATTTTATTTTTGTGTTATTTTAAATAGGAGCGTCTATTCTGAGCATTCGCATGTTGAGAGCGGCTGGAAATCGCGTGAGCATCTTTCTTTTAACACTCATTTCCTAAATAAGGTGAGGTTGATACTAGGAGTGAGATGTTTATTGTACAGGGCCTTTGTAATAGCAAGATGTTTCCGGTAATGTGATTTATATAGAGTTTAAGTTTTTTCGAACAGAATGTTTTAAGGCTTGTTTTAAATTTTGGATTATATATAAGAGATAGATAGATAGATAGATAGATAGATAGATATAGGGTAACTGCTATATAGATTGAGCAAGCCAATATCAATAAGTGTCAGCTAATGTTTTTACAGGAAGAAGGTGTGATGTTGACATTCGCATTAGTTCTTTAATAGATATGTGCAGATAAAAGACGCATTGCAATTCTCAAGAATTGTTTATGTGGCTTCCATCTGTGGATTTAAATAAGTAATCATTTTTTCTGTCTGTGTGTCTCTTTTGATGATTGTTTTCTGTTTTTATTTCGTTTTTCCCTCATGAGTTTCTTTTACTCCGTCTGTCGAAAATCTCTCAGAACGGATTATTATAAAAACAGATTGATATTAGATACAAGTTCAGCACGTTTTTGTCTCTACCTAACAAAAAAGGTATATTTTTTTAAATGGCATTTCTCTTCGGTAAATAGATAGTTATAGTTCTCCCCAGTTACTGTTTCGTTGTAAATATAGTGCAGTAGTTTCCCGTTGTCTTCTACACGGTTTGAAAATCAAATGTATTCCTTTTTTGTAGCATTATATTTAATAACATACGAAGAAATAAAAAATCACTGTCCAAATATCTACACAACAGCTAAAACTGTAGAGGCATTAAGGTGTGAATCTGATGGTTATTATTCAGTTTTGATTCCCTCCTCCTCTCCCTCTCTCTTTCTCTCTCTCAGTCTCTCTCTCTCTCTCTATATATATATATATATATATATATATATATATATATATATGAAGAAAACATCTGGAAAAACAAACAAAAATCCTTAGAATGTGATTATGCTGTTTTAATATGAATGAAATGTCGACGTCTGACGTTTCGGTTTAATAACCTTCTTCAGGACAATATTCATTACAAAATATAATACAATTAACATAATCAGTATAACTCGACGAAAACGATGGACATAAAAAACAAGTCTTATCCAAAACAGATGAAAGAAAATTTTAAATGATCATACGTCAGACGTCGACATTTCATTCATATTAAAACAACATAATCACATTCTAAGGATTTTTGTTTGTTTTTACAGATATTTTCTTCATTCTGTCCGATTTATATCCATTTATATTTGCTTATCATATATATATATATATATATATATATATATATATATAGAGAGAGAGAGAGAGGGAGTGGGGAGTGAGAGAAATTAAAAAGATGTGATACAGCGAAACAGTCTGTGTATGACTATATACTCTCCTGACGGTTGAGCACTTCCAAAGAAAGGGTATTTGACGGCTGCTGCTGCTCTGATGCTAAGCTCTTTGTAATGGTTAGAGCACTCTGGCAGCTGATCATGCTTATATCACGTATATAATGCGTTAAAAATTCCTTGTATCAGTAGCCGATAGCCTATGCCTAATATTCTCTGACTGATGCCAAATCGGTCGAGTTTAGATCCCGGTTTGCAGCAATGTCTAGCCAGGCAAAAGATGTTGAAAACTTATTTACCAATGTCACTGTTAGTGAAACTATTATATTACATAATTATAAGAAATATATACAGTAACTCATATTTACCCCCCTTAAAATGAATCCTAATATATTACGGAAACTACTATTAGCTTGTACTACTGAAAGCCCTTTCTTAGATCATAGTACTATATATATATATATATATATATATATATATATATATATATATATATATATATATATATATATATATATTTAAGCGTGTCCAGCCAAGCAAAAGATCAGTGATACCATGAAACAAGCTGTCTGTGGATGACTATATATATATATATATATATATATATATATATATATATATATATATGTGTGTGTGTGTGTGTGTGTGTGTGTGTGTGTGTGTGTGTGTGTGTGTATTTCATTAAAAACGACAGAGAAGATACTACGATTAAGCTTTTTATTGAATTTTTCTTGTGTTCGAACAAGTGCTTTCTTTTTATATATATATATATAATGTGTCGGGGTGCATGTGCTAAGATAACATAATAGGAAACGTTTATCAATCTAACCTGTTTCACTTTTATTAAAGCTTCATCAGAGAATGAGATATGGAGAAAAAGAAAAAAGACATTCTGGTCTTTTTACTTTTATGTTGTTTCATTTCCATTCATTAATCATATTTCATGTACACTAGACTTGTTAAACAATTCAAATGAAATTTGCAGAAATGACAAAGTTTGCGGTAAATAATAACAATAGAAAGAAGTTAGGCAAAAAATAATACTAAGCAAAAAATATATGCAGGGCAAAAGAAGGCAAAGCAAGAGGCAAAAAGTTAAAAAAGTAAGAATGGTATTAACACACAAAAGGGATACGGACAAGTGATCGCTGCGTTCTAACTTCAAGGCAAGGAAAAGCAAAAACATATTGGATAAGATCAGGAAATGGTCTATCTTATTGGCCCGGAAGAAATCCCAGCTTGTATCTGTACTGTTTCTCTATAAATGTTGGGTGGGGAATGTTTTTGTAGTCACTCCTGTGTGGATTGGAACAATCATATATAGCTGATAGTTTAGATATTTCCGAGCGGGTATGATACCCTGTATGACGACCAAATGAAAGTCTCGATTTGACGAGGCTATTTAAAGAACATGACTCGAGTTTTCAGGTTAATGTTTTGGTTTTGTAGCAATTTGCGGTATTGTGCGAAACTATCTCTATCTCAGCTTAGGTTCAGTTTTCTTTTCTTTATAATTAGCCCTGATCTGGCATCTCGTCTACAGTTGCTTTCTCACAGACGCACCGTCGTCTCTCTCTGTCTTTTTTACAAATACTTTCATGGTAATTGCTCCGATGAGCTGCATTCGCTGGTTCCCAGACTTCATGAATTCAAGCGCCCTACGAGGCTGGCATACCGCTCTCACCCTTTCACTGTAGAAACTTTTTAAATGTAGCCGTCTCTTATACTCCAATAGCTTCATACCTCGCACCTCTCGCCTGTGGAACACCCTTCTCTATTACTGTTTCCCTGAGAGCTATAATCTTTAACTATTCAAATGTAATGTAAATCGACATCTCCAGTTATCTTGATCTATCAACTACCTTCTCCTCATCCTTTCTTCTATCACTGATCTTGCTCCAAATCTTCTGCAGCCCCCTGCATCCTAGTGGCTTCACGTCTTGCTCGGGGTATAATGCTTAAAAATTAAAAAAAAAATACTATATTTAGTGTTGATAATAAATAAATATTCTATTGGCCGGTAACTACAAAACACCTTGGGACGCAATATCCGTTGAAAAAGTACGTGGGTTGATGGGTTAAATGATATTAAATTATGCAAAGATTGAATAGAGCTTCAGTTTGATATAATATTCGTCGATTTTGTTTTATCAGTCGCTGTCGATGCCGTCCTTGTGTTCTGATTTCCACTTCCTTTACAAGAGCCGAACCAGGCCGAAAATGAAGTACTGTTGCCATATATGGAGAGGAGCTCCTCGATCTTCATTTTCCATTTCGACAGAGTCCAAAGACGTTTCTACGTCCGTGTGGATGTTTTCGTATTTTCTACCCAGCAACCCTTTTTCTTGGGGACGATAAGTTACAAGCCGCTCCCTACTATGTCGCTGTTTCTATGGAATGTGTTCAGACAAATTACAATCTTTAGTTCCACCAGTGCTAGCCTTCACGGATTAGACCCTCCATCTATATTCATTGTAGCGACCTCATTCCCTTCGTATTCCATTGGTGAGATGTAGGTTCCAATCGAGAAGCTTCTTCCCACGAGTCGTTGCTCTGTGGAGCCGACTTCCAAAAGGATACTTCCCCAATCACTTCAATCTTAAGCAGTTCAAGTCTAAGGTTAGCAGTTATCTACCACACATATCACCATTGTTATATAGGAATAAAGTGCCGCTGTCGACACTTGAGTTTGAACATAGATCGCCAGTGATCAAACACAGGCGATCCCATTATTGAATTAAGTAGACCACGTGACCATAGAGGAAAAGCCTAAGTAGGAGGTTATTTCATACAAAATATGATTTATGTTAAACCACTGATTCTTACTGTTATATAGGAATAAAGTGTCGCTGCCGACACTTGAGTTTGAACATAGATCGCCAGTGCGCAAACACAAGCGATCCCATTATTGAACTAAGTACACCACGTGACCCTACAGAAAACGAATAAGTCGGAAATCGCGTATGTCTATTTGATCGCATTTCTATTTTATCCTCTATTAATATTCGGATCGCTATTTCTCGTCTATCCTCTATTACTATACGGACCGCTATTCGCTATTCTCTACACTATTACTATACTATTTCTCTATTTGGATCAATATACGTGTTACTATTCGATCGAATATTATCGAGCAAGTACTATTAGTGCGAGTGCTATTCGAAGGCGTTTGACACAACTATTGTTCAACGGCGCACTGCAGTTGTATCTGCGATTGCAAAGGCTCTACTACAACGGGCATTACGAAAGTGACAACGAGTGTTCGTTGAGATCACAAAACCCATAAACTTTGCTTCTTACTCTGTAACCCTCTACCTCGATTTGCACTTACTAATGTCACCCTGGAAAATTGTCACCTTAGAAATAAAGTGTCTATCCATTTGATCCTTAAAATCAATTCGCGGTAAAACCGATAGAAAAAACCATGTCCAGAATTATAGCTACACTACCTCTTTACATATTACATCTCACATACACCATTTGTTTTAGTCCATATTGTGGCAGACGAAATTATCCAATGCACTTTATGATTTTTCCATATAAATTTAAACGAGGTTCAAATGCAATTGCCGCTAAAATAAAATCCGAATAATCATTATTTGCCCTGCTACAAAATCCTCGCTATGTTAGTATCGATGTAATTATTAGAGTTTAATGTTTGGCCATTTTTATTTGATAAACCTCGTTCACGAAAGCGCTTTTTCGCATAAACAGTTAATTAAATGAATGAATACCGGGGAAATGAGAGATAAAAGAATGAATATTTATACGGAGGAAAGGAGCTAGGCGAGTATCGAATCATATCAACATTGAACAAAGGAACGGCGGTGAAATTTCCGCTTATGGAGGCTGTGTTTACATTGAATTAGTGCGATTGTAAAAATCATGAATCGAATTTTCAGGGACTGCAAATAAATTTGAAGTATCGAACGTTCAAAATATTTTGAAGTATCGAACGTTCAAAATATTTTAAAGTGCCAAAAATTACCGAAAACTCACTCTTTTTTCTTCAAGACATAGACGATCATAGCTCTCTACAACTTCCTTTCTTGTGAGACACTTAGCAGTTTTTCTCCTTTGCTAAGACCAAATATTCCACCATCTTTTCACGCAAACACGTCAGCTGAGTGGCTCGCTGCCTTCCTTATCTTTCGCCTTCAATAAAATGCGTGAGAATTAAGCTTTCCAAACCCTCATTATGTGTCCAAGGAATTTTAAGTATTTTTTCCTGATTCTTAGTAGAAGTGTTCTTTCTGTTGTAATTTTCTTGTTTCTTTGTTGCTTACTCTCTCCGTCCATGAAAATTCTCGGTATCATTCTGTAGAACCACATTTCCTAAGCCGTGGAGAAATTGTTATATCAGATGATTGATATTACATAGACATCCAGCACTCTTTTCTTTGTTTCTAATGACATTTTTCCGTTTCTCAGGATCTAACTTAGCTTTTGGAATGCCTCTTTCTCCAGCCCAGTGCGTGTTCGGATCTCGGTGTCGTATTTTTCTTCATGATTCAATAAAAGGAAAAAAAATGTGAGGGAATCACAGAATAATGACATAAAAACCATAAACGTTTTGATAAAACGTAAAGAACATATTAGTACAAGATTGAGTAAATCCAAAAATAATAACATGTCGGCAAAGCTTAATCTTCGTAGACGCAAGAAAACGGTGTATTTCTGTTGACATCGATAATGCTGTCTCCCTCGAAAATCTTTATTTACAATATTATAAAAAGATGAGATCCAAGGACAATACGATATTTATTATTTATCTTTTTATAATGATTTCTTATTTACGGGGTGTAACAGTAAAATTGTCCAAATCGTGTAAAAGCATAGGATAATTGTACTTCCCGCAAAATGTTTAATATATAAAAAAAACACTAAACTAATTGAGATTCTTTTTTACAGGTTTTAAGGTAAAGACGCTTAACCTTCTTGACATCATTTGTCGTAAGAATCACTGAAAAACTCATTTCGTTATTCAGCTAGTAAGAGAACAAGTTAAAATCATTTTCTGTCGGGCCCACTATGGCTTTACAAATGAGCAATGGTGAGAGGAAAAGATCATACAGGTCTTCAGTAATGTTACGAACATTCATACTCTGGCTTCCATCTTCAAATTGAATTCAAGAACCATCAAGAGAACGGTAAATAAGTTAAAAAAAGAGGGAACAGTAGACAGGAAAACTGGATTTGGAGGTTACAACAGCAAAAGAGATAATCATTTCAACTTAGAGCTAAATACATTCGTATTGTTCAAAGTAGAGTCCAATAGTGTTATAAAAACCTCGGGGAATTCCAGTAAGATATCTTTAATCATTTCTAAGATACAACGGTGCAAAGCTTAATCTAGCAATTGAACAATTTTGCTGTTACACCCGGTATAATTTTTTATAAAGAAATAAATTGAAGTGTCTTTTTATTGCAACATTTATAAAAATTACAGTTGTCAAAATATATGGAGCAACAACAATGCAATATTTATTATTTACAACTAACTAATTAAGAAAACATTTTTTATTCGTAATTTTATAATATATATATATATATATATATATATATATATATATATATATATATATATATATATAAACATTTTTTTATATTTCTTTAGCACTTAATCCCGGAAGAAATCGTTTGGGAGACGTCAGTCCACAGTTCTCCTCCATCTGTCGGGGTCGTGTACCAGATCCTAGGTCCCCGCGAATGGTTTCTCGGCGTGTTTTTTATGAAGAGTGCATTGCGCCTTTTAACCTAACGGAGCCCATCTCTCCAGGCTAGACCACTCGCGATGTCCTCTAACTAGGTGTCGCAACTTGGTCGCGAACACGTGGCAGCTGTAGTTCATCTAAGGAACGCTCTGGCCGGCGAAATGCGTTGAGAAGGTCCTTCACCCAGTGACAGCGTGTTAACAGCATACCCTCATGTGAGTTTAACCAACCAGCTGAAGCGGTTTACAGGGGCCTGGCAACTTGGATGAAATCACGTGAGAGATTTGGGAGATGGTAGAAGACAAGAGATGCCCGTTAACCAGAAACAGCGTGCCAGACATCAAAGTTACTACATCTATTCAGATGCCCATATATATATATATATATATATATATATATATAAGTAACGAAAATCTTGGTATTCCGTAAGGATAATTCTAAGGAGGGGGAAATCTTGAGAGCCCAATGTTAAGTCAGAGCGAATAATTTAATTTAAAGAAAAACAGACCACTTTAAGACTCTATTAGTTATAATTTATTTCACCAGTGAATTTTATTTTTCTCTAGATCTTCGGACTTCACTTTCAAAATTGAAACGAAACATGAATTTAAAATTTACACTTTTGACTGGCAGTATTAAGCTTATATAAGTTGACATAGATGGGGGTGAGGAATAGTATGCGAGACATGGTCTAGGTTAGAGAAGGAAAGGAGAATTTTAAAATTTATTTTTATTTGAATACTTAATATTGTGGAGGTGGGGATAAGGATCAGACATTGTCCAATTTAATCCGTCAGCTCAACGGAAATGATATGGGAAAAAGGGAAAAAAGAGGAAAAAGGGGTTAATAAAGGGATAAGATATAAGATATGTACGTAGGATTTTTCGAGAAAGGAGAGGGATGGCATAGCTTTAGCAGTTTAGATAAACACAGATTTTAACGTTTGTTAACAATTTAAATGTTTAAAAACTCCACAAAGAAATTAAATTTCATTGGATGTCGGAGTGAACAGTTAGTCATCAAATGTACCACTTTAAGAAGTATTATAATAATATATTTTCCATGATAATTATAGTAATCCATAAGTAAATAAGAAAAGAATAAAAGTGTAAAATTATCATCAAATATATGAGAACATTTATTTTTATTATTATTATTTATCTTAAAACAATTGACTATTCTGAACTAAAAAAATGACGAAACGCTTTTCAGATAAATTTGAAAATACGTCCTCGTCCAGACAGCAATGCCACTTACCGATAATAAATAGGACAATTAAGAAATTATAGTCAAATATTGTTAAAAAAATCTTTTGGATAATAAATGATAGGGAAAGTAATCAACGATACTGAACAATCAGAGGTAAACATTACAACTCGAAAAGTCTTTCCAATAATTTCGAAAGTTATTCCCCATTCATAAAAAGAGAAATGAAACACTTTCAATATAAAATCGAGTAGAATTATTAATGTCAATGTATAAGTAATGAACAAATACAGGGTATTGCATGTTCTTAATATAATAATTGTTGGCGAAAAGTTCTTAGTAAATAAAACTTTCTAAATAATACTTAATTTCAAAAATAAAACAATCAATTTATATGATTTTATTGTATAAAATATGTGTTTTAATAATTAAAAATTATGATGTGAGGAAAAAAAAATAAACATGATTTTTCCGGATATTATATTTCTTCTCAAATTATTTTCTATCTCAGATTAATTTTTGTTTTAATTTTCCAAATTTTATAATCATGATCTAGAATCAAGGATGCCTAATGAATAGAAATCCAAAGCCTGACACTTTGGCATTTATAACTTACAATCTTCCTACTCTTTTTGAAACATAGCATTTTGAAAGAAAATTGACATTGTTAATTCTTTATAAAAAAAAGGTCTAGAAAATCTTCCAATCGATTATTTATTGTCAGCAAAGTTCTGACTGATGAAGAAATCTTAAATAAAGAGTGGACACTAAGCATCTTGACTAAAGCAGTTGACGAAGCTGGCGAACGTTTTCCGGAATGGTCGGAACATAATCGCTGAATTACCGATCAATCCGAACTTTATCCTAGGAAAACTTTATCTTAGAAAGATTTCATAGATAATTCTCATAATTTTATAATTCAGTAATTTCTTGATAAATTTATGAATAAAAATGTTTTTTTTTTATATTTATGCCTATATTAAGTGATAAATATTGTTTAAATTATTTATATTGTTCGGACTATTGTCAACATCTTTATTGTCATATCCACGACGTTTCGGTGTTCCGGCCTTCTTCAGGACCTGTTTATATTTCAGAGATTAGATATTGTAACTACTTACATTGTTCGGACTGTTGTTCTCATCTTTATTGTCATATCCACGATGTTTCAGCCTTCAACACTCCGACCTTCCCCAGGTGATTGGATTTTGAACTGAACCCTTTATTTCATCCACGTTCCATGCCTCTTCCGGATGTCTCAGTTATCTACCTTAACTCTACCCTTCAAGTATTTTTTGTTCACCACTGCAGAAGCTAGGTATTGAACTCAAAACCCTTTGGAACAAGACACTGGATCCAACCAACGCTTTTATCCACTGGGCTATGTGTCTTCCCATTGTATTCGTTGATTTGCATTTTGTAATCTTATAAATATAAAATTATCCTTGTGAATAAACAATGTGAATAAACAATTTATTAAATAAATAGTATTAATAGTTTGGATTTTAAACCTCAACAACAAAGCAAATGTATAAAATTCACTATCACATGTTTGGGTTTTATTATAACTATAATAATTGATTTTTAAAACAATGAACATTGCCGGTGGGTTAGGATTGTTAAAAAAATAGCGGTGTCAAGAGAAAAGAAACCTCTTTGTGATACACCGTTTTTCTTTTTGCGGTCACAAACCTTAAACTTTGCTGGCATTACCTTATTCAAAATAAAATAAAATTATTAAAGGCCAGAAACAAGGTAAACAAACACTCAAAAATGTTCTCACGAGAAAAAGAAAAACAAACAATAATTCAAGATATTTGGCCATAAATAAGAAGGCCAGAAAGGTTGCCATGGTGGAAAATGGCGATAGAAGCTCGAGTA